GACAGCACTACGGATTTTACAAGACCTACATTGGAATTTGCATACGTAAATTAGGCATAACACATTAAATAAATGAAGTACGCAACCAACTATGCTACAACGGCATTGTTATAGAGTATATATGTAAAATGTATTCAAAATATTTCTGATTAGCCAACGGGGATTGGAATTCCTGTCATTTGAAAGCATAAACGCTTTGCTTATTACAATAAATCAATAATTTGGCTAATAAATTGACGTGATTAAATTTTTTAAGCGCTTATTATGAATATCAAACGAGGCTAAAGTACTTGGCTATGTGTAAGAGTTAATAGTAAATATGGTTGAAAACATGAAACCGGACGTTTTTCTTGGCATGTTCTTCGAAAGGTTCTCGATTATAGCTATAAACTTGAGCGCGTTCAAAAATGACACCCGGATAATGGGACGCAAGTACCAAGGCCATACGCAAGACAATACTAGGATTTCCAGAGCTGGCGATTCACTCGTACATAAGAAAAAACCCACAAGGGCGTCATTTTAATAGGTATTGTTTTATTTACACACCCTCAGTCTTCTGACATCCAAACCAACTTCGCCTTCGAAATGAAGTTGATAGTGTTATTTTATTTAGTTAACTATTTATAGACTTTTTGAAGTGATAACGTCTTATAAATCGATGAACGACGGCTTCACGAACGAAAACACACGACTCATTGTCACGTTCCGCCTGAGCCGAGCGTGCAAGCGAGAGCGCGGAACAAGCGATAGAGATAGAAAGAGCGAAATTCAATTGTTTATTACAACATTGCAGAAAAAAGGTCAAAAATTCTTGAATTTTAAGAAATTAATTAGCAATATATTCTCATATATTTGTTCTTTGATTTTTAATTAACTCTTTATTTGTATCATACAAAACAATAATAATTTAGTTATAATAATTCAATTCAATTAATTAAAGAATGCAATTTTTCATCGATATTTCCTCATATCATATCATATCATATCGTTATCACGTAAAATTATCGTCCGTAAACCGACTTTACAGACAGCCAATTTTTTTATAAAACAGAGGGCAAGCAGGCAGAAGGGTCATATGATGTTAAGTGATACTGCCACGACGAGGGACAAACACGTGATACGTGTGAAATTTAATATTTGGTCTCGACGTCCGTTCATGACCCCAAACATCTCCTCCGAACATTATTCATAATAAAAAAAATGTATAATAAATGTTTTTAATTATATTAATAGTAAATTAAAAGAAAGTACTAAGCACTAATATTCTTTTAATCCTATTATGATGAATTATTTATCAATTAGCAATCAACGTCCACGAATACCCCTTAATATGATGAAACGTTTATTATTTTCTTTTTTACGTTCATTAAAACAGTATTAAGCGATTATATATGACCGTTTTATTATTGGGGATTTAATAATAAAATTAAGATAGGATTACGCTCAAAGACTAGGAGCAAACAGCATTAATGTTCTATTTGCTTTTTCAGTTAACTGTATCCAGGGCTGAAAAATTATGTAACAACGCTTGCTAAAATTGGCACTACGACAAAATCTGTCCGTGTTCAACCCTAAATCTACTTTTTAAACATTTCAAAAGCCAATATATATCAGTATATTGGAAAAAAAATCTGAGCAAAGTCAGGGTAAGGTATATGCAGCCCTGATGTATTACTTTATATATGCGTAATTGGCACTTGCTTGTCTCGATTTCCTGGCGATATTTCCTTCACGTATACACTATAATATAGGGGAAGGTCGGGACCCTTCGTACGGTTTTCACATTTTATTTTTTATTTTTTATTTTTCCATGATCACATTGCAACTTAAATTTATAATCTAACTATCTGAGATTCATATAAGAAAATGACAAATATTTCATCTGATGGTTCAACCATAATTATGAATTAAACTAAATCTGGAAAACGTACGAATCTGCCCCATCACGGGGCACCTTCGTACAGTGTTGTGGGTACCTTCGTACGCTGTGGGTAGTTCCGTACGTGCGATTATAACGACACATATAAATCAAAATTCATTTATTAACAATGAAATTAAACACAAAAATAAAGATTTAACTTCTATTAAACAAAAATAAAATACTTTTCTTATAGTGAAAAAAATTAATAGCTTTTCTTAAGAAAAACAAAATTTAATGTTAGGTATCTTAAATTTAGAATCACATTTTTAATCTTTGTGCCGATTAGCACTTCTTTTTTCGGTGTGGCAGTATAAATTGTTTCCTGCGTCTCGCATTTTGTTTGTTTTATTACTTCTTACAACATGCGGATGGGGTCAAACGCTTTGTTCAAAACTGACTTGAAGGAACTACTATTTGATAGATTGGTAAATTATTCAAAGCATCTGTTCACAGGCATCAAAATCAACCTTAATAAAGATAATAAAAATAGGTATTAATATATATTTATATCGAGGATAGCAATGATAGCAACAATTAGCACACTAACACAATCTTTCCTACCTACAGAGGGTTTAGTTAAGATCTTCAGTAGTGTATGTAGCAAGTCGAAAACTTAATTTGTATGAAAATGACAGTTCGTGTCGACAAAATATTTTCGTACAAATTTAGTTGTACAATTCGTTCAAATGTCCCCATCTAGTGCTGTCCGAAAGTACCCCACTAACTGAATAACAACAAAATATAACTTATTTTAATATTAATAGGAAAACGTCCTAAATTAAGATTGGAGACGTATCATAAGTATATTTGCTAGTTACTGATAGAATACTCTACACGAAAACTTATTTTATCTACGTAACAGAGACAAAAACATTGATCTTACTTACCGAGCGGAAATCACGTCCATGCCTGTAACTTCACTCTATCGGTGCGAATTTCGCGAAACTTCGTTGATGATAGTTCGTACCTCAACTCATGCACACATACAAAAACAAGACTGTACTTTGTTTCGTTCAAGTTTTATTTTGACTGTATGAATGTGCCCCGCGTACGAAGGGTAACGATTTTCCCCTACATGTAATTAAATTTCAAAGTAATGATATAGAATTGAAATCTATAGTTAGTTTATTAAACCACCGAGGTTGAAGGCTTTGGGAAGATATTGGATATTATATGTTCGTGTTCAGAACTGTTATACAAAATAATATTTGGTTTTTCTTAGAGACTGTTATAGTCGATAACCAAATTGCAATTATTTGAGATATATATAAAATAGCTTGGTAAAATTATCGGCTATAGAGTAAGTAAAATCATGTTGGTCATGTAATGCCGAGAGCTCATTGGTTACTTGTAGTGTTCGAGTTCTATTTATGGTAACAAAGGAAACTGATACTTTGTCAACTAAAAATAAACAGAAATTTATTAATATGCTATTGATTATATATAGCCATTTATTACACTGCTTCAAGCAATAAAATATGTAAAGGCAAGGAGCCACTTTTTGATTACTAAAGTTTAGAATAATTTGTGTTGTCTAATGTTTTTGTTATGACTGTTATTAGACTTATAATATTTATGAACGACCTTATCTTATTATTTGAAAGCCAGAAGCTTGAAGTGGGCCATGACGGAGTGGTGGAAGATTAGTTTCGATTCCCAGGACACATAACGTAATGCAGATGCCATTACAATACGCGATTATTTAAACGGATATTGCCAATATTTCTCAATATATAAAACGTATGAGTCCGCTATGGTACACAATAAGTGCCGCGATTTGTGTAAACAAATGTCACTTCTAAGCTCCACACCCTACATGCAAAATTCAATTGCGAATTGTCAAACTCGATGCACTAGAGCCTACGAATTAAGACCACCTCGGTGCACTTTAAAACTGGTGCTGTAAATCGGATTGCAGAGTTGAAGTGGTTCCCCTTTTGCAAACGGAGTCATGGTAAAACTTTCAGAATATACTCAAAATTTCATAAACCAATGTAGTTGCCGCCTGAGAAAATTATTCAACTTTGAAAAAATAAAGTGAAGTGGTGAAGTGAACACGGTCTTTGCCTAAACTGTTTTACGCAAAGTTTCAACTGTTGCCACTGAAAGGAGTAACGAAAGTTACTAATAGACTCAAAAGCTCGTTTAAATTGAGAGCTCACCTATTTTTATGAGTGTTAACTAAATTTGAATAGGTATTGTATAGAAGAATAAGCTAAATTACAACTAAATTCTAATTGAACATTGCGTTATTTATAAATTTAAAATTTTCTATATTCCACCTTTTAATAGACATTGCAATTCATTCAATTTGTCATTGTTTCTTTGTTTATAATTGTTTAGACTTTTTATTCATTGAAAAATTTAAATTGTTTACGATTATCTTTTTTATTAAAACGTTATTATAAAACTATACTTTATGACGCCAAAGTTAACTGAAAACTATAAAAAATAAAACCCGCTTTAAGAAGATTTCAAACACATTTTTCTAAGAGAAAAAAATAATTAAACTTTCATTGTATAAAAGATTTTCTTTAAAGCGTTGCAAATATTTTGTTAGGCTTTGTAGCTGTAATACTTATTTTCCCGATAAACGCCATATTATTTTGATAGAACGTAAGTTTACATGACATAGTTTGAACTCACGCCAAATTGTATGGATGTAAACTTCACTAATGAACAACCTACTTGTATCGGTATTACGTAGATGAAACATTTTAAACAAAAAATTATCGTTAAAATAACCTACATTTTTTAGAATAATTATCTTTAAATCACTTTTAATAGGACAACCTTTTTATGTTGTTGGTTTTTTATTCTACAAAAAAATTGGCTTAAGACAATTAGGATAATGAAGTTAACAAGAATATAAAAATTAACTATTAATAAACTTGAGAATATAATCACTAGAATGTTCATCAGATATCAATTCGTATCAATTTCATTAAAAGCTTCATTATCACACAAAGTGATCGGAACAATCACGAAAAGATAATGAATTAAATTGTGAATTAATATCATTATGCGTTGCTCAAATAATTAAGAGCTAACCGCGACCAGAATGACATTTAATTTTATGTTATAAACGAGGGAAAAACTGATTTTTAGTTGAGTTTGAGGAACAAGGACGAGATTTAGTGGGGTGAGTGCGTAGGCCGCCCGTTACTGTGGGGAAAGCGGGCTTTGCCGCACCCTTTGCATCGGGGTCCTGAAAGCTCTTCATAATATCAGCAACCCTGGTACTATTTGGCATTGACTTGGATATATCAGGCGGCGGGTTGGCAAATCAGATTTATTACAAATTCTTGAATTTTAAAATTTTCTAGAAACGATTTATTTCGAATAAAGATCTAAGTTTATTTAGTTGTTTAAGTTTATATTTATTCTTAAATAAGATGTATTTTTGCTCTATATATTTAATTAATTACAAGTATTATCAATTATAGTTTTACTTCATATAATAAAACCTGTTTATTGCGGCATATATTTAGTATGAGAATTTAAAATACTTAAAATCTTTTTGTCTATCTATTAATGTACATTTTACTTAGCAGTATATCTACATTTCTAGGTCAGACTTACAGCTATAATCTTACATGTGTCGATCAGCGTACATTTCCCTCCATTATTGCATGGTAATCAAAATATGTTTACACATTGAAAGAGAGAGTTGGGACACGAAAACCCGCTTTCCCACATTCCGACAATAAAAGGGAAAACTGGTGTTAGCGGCGCGAGGGACCGAACGGGAAGGATATAAGGAGTTTATTGGAGTGCGAGCGCGTTGAAGATACAAATGTAAGGGCAACTTACCTTCTCGATGTGTCTAGGAGCCTGGTAACTTATTACAAGTCGCGTAATATGACGAGGAAATGCGATCAGCGGTGCAAGCGAGCTGCTGCGACGGCTCGACAGCGCGAACTGCAATTGCATCGCACTCTGCAAGGGGTGGTGCACTTTGAGTAAGCGAGACTTCTACGCCCGCCCATCTGGCTCATGCCTCATTTTCCCGCCCTACTGTCCGTGAATACTTACAGCTGTAAAAAGTAGCACTTGTACACGCACTAACTTTATTGATTAAACAACACTTATTATTATATTAAAACTTATTTTACGACTATACTTTGTCCAATAAAAAAATTGTTTAAAGTTTTACAATCTTGACGAAAGTAAAGATGTGTATTGAGACAAGTCCTACACGTATACTAAAATTGGAAATAATTATTATTTGTATATCGGCCTAGAGATTTAACAGAGTTGGCGCCGCCTCTGCGCGGTCGCCCGGGTGACCGCCCGTCGGCTGCGTGCCCCACGTGTAGCTTAGTCTAGATATTTTGCACAATACATTTGAAATTATAAAAAAATAAATATGCAAAGCAAGTCGCCAAACACTTGTTAAGTTGCAAGTGTTTTTAACATTTTATTGCACTCTTAATAATCTAAATAGTACTTGAACATATCTTTAATAGTGTATTAATTTTATAAATATACTAGTGGACCCCACAGACGTTGTCCTGCATGATATTTAAAGCGATTAGGATATTAAGCAAAGTATGAAAGTACCGACTGCAGTGCCATCTGCCGGGCTGATTTGTGAATTAAAACTAAACCATTCCCAGATCCCCTTGAACACACACAAAAAATTTCATCAAAATCGGTCCAGTCGTTTGAGAGAAGTTCAGTGACATACACACTCACAGAAGAATTATATATATAAAGATTAAGGATATTTCTATACCATTACGCAATTCATTATTTTATACAGGATATATGTAAACTAAAATATTTCAATTGAATTGATTCCATAAATTAAAAATGTGTTTTTTTTAATTATTAATTATAACATGTTTATTAATTTTGTATCTTCCATTACAATGGCCACCAGCTACGACACATAGACATCAAAATAAATTAATAATTTATCAGAATAATCACCTTTACACATCGTTAAATCAGATCAGAAGAGACTGTGCCATTCATTTCTATTACATTGTCTGATTTTAGGCCATGAAAGTTCGAAATTTTTAATTCTTCGCGGAGTACCTTTAAGTATGTATTTATTTATGTGATGGATTTACTAATAAGTGTCCAGGTTATTTTATTTATAATTTGGTGATTTCTATTTGAATAGAGTTTACATTTAAGATTAAAAATGTTTATTTTGCTTTTTATTTATTTCCTTTATGGTGTGAAAAAAATAGATGCTCTGATGTGTGGGGTTGGAGGCGGATGCTTAGGATTTTCTAGCAAGCTAATAAATGAAATGTATCCATACTAAAACGGTTACAGGTAAAAACTCGACTTTCGACACTTTATTACCAACGTAACGCGTTTTAGACGTGTAAACTTGACGTAGAATGAAGATATGAAGGTCATATTCGTGTGATACATGCTTTACACATGATTTATTCAATATCTTTTATACGGGCATCCTGTGCTTAATTACGTTATTGGAAGACTGATGATCCGTTAAGGCAATATTATAATTCAATAGACTCACATGTATACAAAAATAAAATCCCTTAACTCTAGAATACTATCTCATATACTACCATATATGTGTTTTAGAATATAGTAATATTATCAGTATCAGTAGTGGTGTTTTTAAATATGTTTACACATTAGCGTCGTATTAAATTCCTAGACATACGAAAGTTCAATGAAGTAGAAACGTAAAACCCTCATTCAGTGCGCCCTAACTTATAAACTTCAAAGAAACTTATTTCTACTAACATACGTAATGGCTATTGTGGTATTGGAAAGTAGAAATAATACATTTTTATTAAGAACTAGAGTGCAGAAAGCAATCGCATATATGATGTAAGTTTGTTTAAAAGTTTATCACGCTCGAGGTGCCCTCATATTTTTTAAACATCAGCTAATAGATTCATACAACTCAGAAGAAATTTGCGGGAAGACTCCGTTTTGAAGCAACTTTTAAATTTACATATTATAAAGAAGCAAAATATGTAGACGTAGATTGGGGCTATTTTAATAAAAGTTTCCGATTTGAATATTATAATACATTAAGGAGAATATTATTTTCTAAACTATTGAAATATATTATTTATAATAGTAATTAGCACATTTGTATTGTGTATACTACCATTTTTAAAGCCATATCGTATATTGTATAACAGTTATCTTCACATAGAACTAGTGCTACGTATATGCTACGACGGCTACGATGCTACGCAACACTTGATCCACATTTCAGACGTCAGTATAAAATGTAAAGCTTTACATTTTTGTTTCTAGCTTTTGATTTAAATAATCTGTGAAATGTTGTAAGAGTCAAATATAAATTTTCACTGTTTCTTCAAGTTGTATTGCTTACTACTTGACAGTATAACAGATTTATGATTATAATAAGTGTAGGCCACATTATTACTCCTTGAATAAAGATCAAAGTTTAATATTATAATGAAGGGAAGGTAATATTTACATATCATAAACATGTGCAGACATTTATGTGCTTCGTTACCATAAACAGAACCGACGGTGCGTGAACCGTCGATATCCAAGGGAATAAATAAATAAGTGTGCAATGAACTAGAGAAATATGTTACTTAAGACATCTTATTTCACATAGAAATTAATGTCTATATCTAAATCCGTTTGTTTATAATAGATCTAGGATGGGAAAGATTTTGAATGTATAAATCCTACCGTGTTAAAAGTATAATCATGGAGAATATTAAAGAAATAAAGCGTTTTGATTACATTCGTCCTATATTATTATCATTAAATATATTACTACTAATACCTGTTTTTTTATTTTTGTTATGTGTATGTTTTTGATTAAGGTAATAAAGTATAAATAAATCAATATTTCAAAAAGGCACAAAATTATTATTATAGAAATTTATTTAACCCCCCCCCCCCCCCCCCCCCCCCCCCCCCCCCCCCCCCCCCCCCCCCCCCCCCCCCCCCCCCCCCCCCCCCCCCCCCCCCCCCCCCCCCCCCCCCCCCCCCCCCCCCCCCCCCCCCCCCCCCCCCCCCCCCCCCGCCCCCCCCCCCCCCCCCCCCCCCCCCCCCCCCCCCCCCCCCCCCCCCCCCCCCCCCCCCCCCCCCCCCCCCCCCCCCCCCCCCCCCCCCCCCCCCCCCCCCCCCCCCCCCCCCCCAAACCCCCTCCCCTCTCCCCTCCCCCCCCCCCCCCCCCCCCCCCCCCCGCCCGGCCGCGACTTCCTTTTTCCCCCCCCCCCCCCCCCCCCCCCCCCCCCCCCCCCCCCCCCCCCCCGCCGCCCCCGCCGCCGGCCCTGCCCGCCCCCCGCCCGCCCCCCCCCCCCCCCCCCCCCCCCTCCGACCTTAAGAAACCCTCCCTCTCCCCCCCCCCCTCCCCCCCGGGCCGCGCAAAAAAAAAAAATTGAGAAGAGAAAAAAAAAAAAACCCCCCCCCCCACCCCAGAGTCCCCCCCCGGGTGACTTTACAGTTTTTAGAATAATTATTACAGCTATAGCACTCATTTCGGGTAAAGCAATTTATGCTTACAAAGAACTCTATTTATACGCGTTTTCGTTGGACAGTAATTAAAACCGCTGGCTGGATTTAGCCCCTGAATAAGGCAGCTGACTCTTCTAATCAAACAAGTTGCGATGTGAGGAACAGATTACATTTGCAGATATTAATGCGCTTTGTAACAGAATTGATTGTAATTAATCAGTTGTTACTAAAGGGCACGTATTAGCGGCAATTAGTGTTTACGTTGTATTTGATTTGGTGAATGCACATGTGACAGCATTATATATGCGCCGTAGGTATGTATAATGACCATGCCTAATTATATATATATTGGTTAATATGCTATCAACCATAAAAACATCAATAAAACTGTTAATACTCATGCATGAGTAAGAAATAACTCAAAATAAGAGCGAACGCAAAAGGTAATTTTAAAGCCATTAACGAACTTAAAACAATTGCATTTTATTTTATATTTAGTAGTCTTTGACGTCAATAAAAATCTAAGACAACTGTTACTTTTCTAAGTCTTGTTTTTTCGTATAAGTATTTTAAATGAAAACGTTGTGATGTAAATTAGGACCTTTACCAAACATATAATAAAGCCAACAGTACGTCAGTTTAATCTGTCACGGGTAAATAACGTAACTCGCTGGGCGTTTGAGTGATTTATCGTTTTACAAAAAGGGCTCCACTTTATAGGATTTTGGCATAATCCCATAGTTGTAACTGTTCGCTTTGCCAACTTTCCTAACTATACATATGTATTTAGAATATTGTAAGAAAAAAAAACAATTTGACATTTTATAACGCCCCCGTATGCTTTAAAATATAAAACACAGGCTTTTTAGCACTTATGAAGTGTAAATACAGCTTACAAGAAGCGAGCATTGTTAAGAAACAGGCCGTTATTGTTATGTAAGTAGCTACAGAGGTAAATTGCCGTAATCACTGCCTGCAACCGACTTACTGATGGTTGGAGGCTAAACTTTTGTGAAGAGTTTTCAAGCTGAGGACGCGCGAGGACCACTTGACATGCACTAACAACTGTCATCTAAAGATAACAACCGAGCGGAGCTTAGCCTGTTTGCGCTTGTTGTTGTAATACCATTAGTCAACGTACAGAACGTCTGTCCACTATTCAATAGTCTGTCTTAAGTAGGTTATAAAAATCAGTGGCGCAGTCGATTTTTAGGGTCCAAGACACGCCGTCGATTTTTTGGGTCCAAGACATGCCGGTTTCCTCACGATATTTTCCTTCACCGTTCGAGCGAAAGAAAGTCCATTAGGGCTCAGCCGAGGATCGAACCTACGACCTCAGGGACGAGAGACCAGAGACGCTGAAGCCACTAGGCCATTACTCCACAAGTAGGTTATCACTATGAAAAAATCCCTTATAAACTAAAGAGATACCTTAAACCAAAACCGGAAGTTCTATTCATTTCAATAAACTTCAATTTATCGGTGACGTA